CAACATCCTGTATCTAATGATTGCATTGTTATTATCAGCCATCACAAGTCAGGTGCGCAGGTGTCTCTGGGTGCTGAACGGTCAGTATCGAGGTCAGTATGTCGGTATGCGTGAACAGGGATACGCGCACGTGAGTTGTCGATGTTGATAAACACGACACATGTGTATAACGTGGTGAATATACCCGGGTTAGGTTTACGCCGAAGTTTCATTATAAACTCCAAACCCCCAGTTCCTGGATGTGATGTGATATCGTGAACATCACAATTCCATAATAACGCTAATTGCTTAAATGATCATTCATTTCTCAACATTATCTGAAGAAGTTAATTTCGTCTTTCCTGATTTGAATAAGAACCCCTGTTGAATAAATTTTCAATATGTTCAACAACGGTTTCAACCGCATTGTGATTAAAAATTGATTGGTGCCCTTCAAATTCTGACTGAATACAGAACAACAATGAATTAAGGAAGAACTAGAAGATTCAAGAACTATTTCAAATATTGATTCGGAATTTAGATTGGCAGTTATTACTTATTGAATTATTGATTGAGTACCTGGTGTTAAATATTCTCCTTATTGATCTAAGTTCAGTTGATAGGTCGAGTACGTTTTTGAACTGAAATATAAAGGGTGTCTCACGGTCGGTGGTACCTTAGACGTGTACGAAAAATTTGGTTACTCATCAAAAAGTAGCAACATTATTGATATTTCAAATGAGACACTTTGTGTATTATTGCATTTGTGGATTCGTAATTACTTGCTAAATCATTTTGTCAGATACTTTCCTGTACCCATCTCTAACGGTTTGGAAGTTAATTATAATTTTTCAAACATTGCTCTAATCCAGTGTTCCTTACTGTGATATCTAGATGCGTAGGATATCAAGAAAACGTTTGTTATGAATGAGTGTTGCTCATGACGTGGAGATGATTTCGAGACTTAGCAACGATGGAATTCTACTAACGTTTGGATAAACAATTTTTTTCAATCGTGGAGATGATTTCGTGACTTAGCAACGATGAAATTCTACTAACGTTTGGATAAACAATTTTTTTCAATAGAACACTATGTATATCATCGAATAATCTGAAAGACAGTCGAAATCCCTATCAAAAGTATAAAGATTTGAGTATAGGAACATGAACTACCATTCGAAAGGGATTTTGATTATCTTTCTTTCGATAATATACAGGGTGGTCATGCGACCCTGTATGATGCAGAACCAACATCTACTCATAAAACTAATACACAGAACCTTGGTATGTGCTACGCTCGAAATTTCAAGTTTCTATGAATCCAGATACAGCAGTAATAAACATCTTTATTGAGCTCATGTTCGCTCCCATATGGAGTATGCATCTGTTCTGTGGAACCCTCACTATCAGATATATATTAACATGCTGGAGACTGTGCAACATAAATTCTTAAGATGTTCGGCATACAGACTAGGGATTCATGTGGAAAACTATTATTATGATTATCATCTTTTGTGTTCCATATTAGGAATATCCACCCTCGAAAGTAGGAGGATTAAAAGTGATTTATGCTTTTTATTCAAGTTATTGTCTGGTGAAGTTCTTTCTCCAGATCTTCTTTCTCACGTTGGATTAAAAACTAACTCCTCTGGTACCAGGTCAAATGATACTTTTCACATTAAATTTCATTGTCGTAATTATGGATTCCACTGCCCTTTAACAAGAATGGCGCGGAGTGCCAATAGTATGAATTTGCACTATTTTGGCATAACCTTCTCTGCCTTCAGTTCTGAAGTGGGAAGGCGCCTTGTTCTGTGATGCTCTTCATTTTTAATCACCTATATGTTTAGATGTGTACCTATATAATGTATCACATGAATGAATGGTTTTTAATGTGTATTTTTAAATTGTTTATATTGTACAATTCTTGTAATGGATCTGTCCGTAAATAAATAAATAAAATAAATAAATAAACATTTTTAGATTAGAGCTATGTCGTCAATAAAGAATAATATGGAAAATCATCATTTATCAACTCTAAAACCATAATTTGAAATTATCAAAGATAAACCTACTGTTTGGTGTGAACGGCAACGTTATTGCATCGCTGAAAATCGTAAGATCATAAGCGATTACTGAAGTGACCAAATTTTCACTTGACATCGACTCGGAATAATTTTCAAAGCTCGAAAAAAAATTCGGGAATGATTCAAACTCGTGTGGTATTCGGTAAGAAAATTCACACCAGATTTTGTTTCAAAATTAAATGATTTTAGAATTCATTTATTTGTTTGATTTTCATATAGTTTGTGTCGCCAATAAATTCCTAGGTTACAAATTCTTGATTTTCTACCTATTGTAGTTGTATGAAAATAGCAGTTTAGAATGTGACATATCATATGATTTGTCGAAAAATTAATGGTGGTGGGAATTTTCCTGCATACTTCATACTTTCAAGAGACCATCGACCATACCCTAACTTGCATAAAAAAATAGAAACTGAAAATATTAAACAAGATATTTTTTGCTTGCAAGTGTTTGATGCAATCTGAATATCAAAATTTAATTGACAATTGATTAATTATAACTTCTGCAAACCTTCTTATATGCTCATGAATAATAAATCAGTATTTAGATACATTATATTGAGTGTCCCAAAGAGAAGTCCAATAGCGACAAAGATTATCAAAAGAAAAAATTCACAGTACAACAGGAAAAAATTAAATTACTACTTTTAATATGATTTGACAAAATAAGTTTTGAGTGTAAGACAGGGTCAAATCCAATCATTTATCTTGCTTATTAAAATTTGTGTTTTCAATGAATTCGGATACATTTAAATAACATGAAATGAAAAAACTCCTAGAGTTTTTATATTTAATGAAAAGAACTACATTTCTGTTTTGAACAGAAAACATTAACCTCCATGAGGAGACAAACTTTTTCGGACATTCCGAAATTTCAACAAAAATAAAAGCATCGAACATATACAGTATGGTGGCAATGTATGGAATAAATTCTAACGCATATGAATTTGAAGACAAATCCTGAGACAGGTCGATTTTCATTTTCAAATTGACACCTCTTGATATACATACATACGGAGTTTGTAACATCATCCGCGTAGTTTTGGTGACGTCAACGATTGTTTTTTTAAATAGAAACATCCCGTTTTTATTTTATTTTTCGGAAGGTATATTCATTGTCTATCCAACCATATACTGATATTAGCAAAATAAAGTAATACAGGGTGAGAAAAAATTATCAATTATTTTATATTTACAACGGAAACCGTCACAATAAATGTTCGAATTGGTGACCTTCTGCAATGATACAATGTGAATGACGATATACATTGTTTCTGATGTATACAGGTCGAATTTTTCATTTATTGTAATTGTTTTCGTTGTAAATATAAAATAATTAATAATTTTTTCTCACCTTGTATTACTTTATTTTGCTAATATCAGTGTATTGTTGGATTGACAATGAATATACCTTGAAAAAATAAAATTAAAAGGGGATGTTTCCATTTAAAAAAATAATCGATGACGTCACTACAAGTACGCGAATGGCGTTACAAATTCTGTATGTATATCAAGAGGTGTCAATTTGAAAATAAAAATCGACCTGTCTCAGGATTTTTCTTCAAATTCATATGCGTTAGAGATAATGAATTTAGAGATATTTCCGTTTTTAGTGTTCGATGCCGCACCGGAAAATTCAAATTATTTCGAATAAAACATGTTTGCTGTTATCTTCGTGGATGTAATTTTAACAGTGAATGAGCACTGCAAAAATGTATTATTCAAGATACTTTTTTGGAGTGAACTTGTCGATTTTTATTTTTTAAATTGTTTATCTTGGAAACTACGCGAATGACGTTACAAACTCTGTATGTATATCAAGAGGTGTCAATTTGAGAATAAAAATCGACCTGTCTCAGGATTTTTCTTCAAATTCATATGCGTTAGAGATAATGAATTTATTCCATACATCTCCACCATACTGTATAATTCATATGCAAGCTAAATTGTAATACAAATAAAAAATATTTTGTTCCAAGGTACTCTGTGGTGGAGTATGATTTTCCCATGCATTGGGCCCCACTTGTTATACAGAAAACTATTTAAATGTATAGTTTTAATAAGTAATAATGAGATTCAAGAAAAAAAAAGGTTTGATTGTTCATGATATTGGACCATCGGTCAGGTGTGTCATCATTTAAGAATGACCGGAATAAATGGGACTGTGGAAATTATAATAACATGAAGAATCAAGGGGAATTCTCAGAAACATGAACTCATAACATCTTATTCTTATTAAGATACATATTTACAATACATGTATTGTAAAAATTCATATTATGATACGAATATAGTACAATATTTTACCTACTACCAAAATAGTTATTTTTCTCCAAATGACATTAAAAGTGACTTGATGGCATTAAATAGACATAAAAGGTGTACTTTTACTGCAAAGGTAGGAAAAGTTCGCTGCTATGCAATGTCCCAAGTAATAATTTGAATTAAATTGGTAATCAAAATTGATTGGGAGAACACAAAATGATTGCCTAGTGAAACTAAAATCAGTGTCATAATGTTTCACATTACATATTGGTAGTAGGTAAATGGTTTGATGAAATCAATTGCAAATGAATGACTAGTAATAACTAAAAAATTATCTCATAATTCAAAAATATTTGCAATAATTTAGGCTGGCAGACTTCTAGTGGGATGCAAGTACAGTGACCTAAATTTGTTTGAACTAAAATATTATTTGATAAAAGATTCAGTAAAAACGTGAGCAAATTTTGATGTAAAATCATCGGACCAATTAAATTGAAAAATCCAAAACAAAAACAGATTTAGTAAAATATTATTAAAACTTGAAATTAAAATTAGTAATTAAAATCGGAAATTAAAATCAATAACAAAATCTAAATTAAAAAGCTCAAAATCATCAATAGAACAAAAATTAAAATATCCACATAGAAACTAAGAAATACAACATGAATCTCAGGGGTTTTCAGGAAGATCAAGTACCTCAGATATGAAGGACGTTATGTCCGTATTCATTTCTTTGTGTTTCACTAAAAAGCTGTGTTGCAACAACTGACTGTAGTTCGGCCGATTAATGTACCTTTTCTGAAGACATCTCGAGATGAAATCTTCAAATTCAGATGAAAATTGTCCTGCAGGCAGTCTTGGCGGGTCATCAGCTACAACCTGTTTGAGTTGTTCGAATGGTGTACCCCATTTTGGATATGGAAAATCTCCTATAGCTAACTCGATTAGGGAAATTCCCAAACTCCACACGTCTGATCTAATATCATATTGAGAGGGGTTGCCCTGAGGATCTATCCTTTCAGGCTGCAAAAAAAACATCTAATTTATCTGATAGAAATACATGTATATGAACTACAATATAGTCGAAATATTCAGTCATAGATGACAGGAGAAAAACAACAACTTCCTACTTTATCACAAATAAATATACAGTGCTAGTCAAAAGTCCCCTCCCCCCCCTCGTATCTTCTGAACGGGTATACTTATAATAATGGCCTTGTGACGTCATTTATGACTATTGCGTCACCTGTTATGACCAGTTGAGAAGCCTACATCCGTTTATTTCCACCCTCCAAATTTCATTATTATAAGTATACCCGTTCAAAAGATACGAGGGGGGGAGGGGACTTTTGACTAGCAATGTATGAAAAAAGTGGAAATTGACAATACATGAACGTACATGACGTCAATCTAAGAGGTTTGTCAAACTAAGAAAAGTTTTGTAGCAATTTTTCATTAGAAGTTTGAAAAATGTTAATGTGGCGAGGTGAATTTCACTCATGTCATGAGAGAAGACAATCAATCAACGAATGTCAATCTGACAAAAATTATTATACAGGGTGTCCCTGAAAGGTCTATACAAAATCACAGCACATTGAACTAAACCGATTCAAAGCAACTTACCTCAGTTCGAAATTACTCTATTTCCGAGATACAGGGTGGTGAAGTTATACAATAGAAATCGAATTTTTCAAAATGTATGAACATTTCTTAACGAAAGAAGGGAAGTGTTGTATTTAGTGCAAGATAATTTATTCAAATTTATATTCGTAGCAGAGCGCTATCGACTGTTGTTTGTTGTTAATAGGTTGTCAGACAGTTGAATTTGTTCAACTTTTGATTACATCTGGAATAACTTGCGTGAGCTCTCATTAGGCTCAACTGGGTTTTCGCTGGTGTATTCACTTGTTGAATTGTTGCATTTTGATAAACCAGACTATTGAGTGACATGTTAGTTAGGTTCTCATTAGATCAACAAAACATTCGCTCCTCAGGGACTTGGTTAATTCTTCTCGATTTCATAATGTTCATCTTCACTAATGTTTCATAATAAACATTCTTAGTTTTTCCTTTGACACATGTCATGTCTCGGATGTCATGTCATGCATGTCAACTTCAAATTTGCCTCCATTAGTTCAGTACGTTCAATGACAATTAAATCAAGGTCCGTCACTCATCAAGTTCACTTCAACACGACATATCGCAGCGACAATGGCTGCTTAACAAAATGTAATCTGTATTTTACCCCTTTTTGGGAAACACATTTTAATATGTTTGTACCGTATTTCACCATAATATAGTTAGTTTTAAACTGGACCAGAGATATTTTTATGGACAAATTTCCTTGTTACCTGACGAGTAAGTAACCTCACTGTTATCAATTTCCAAATTCATATTCAACTATTTCAAATTTCGATTTTATGATAATGTATTTTTCAAAATCAAGAGTTCATCAACAAGTAACAAGTCACCAATTCATTTTTACCTTTTTTTCAATATTAAAAAATTTCCAAAAAAATTTTCAAAAAAATGTTTCAAAAAAAAATGTTTTCGAATTTTTTTTTCGAATTTTCAATTTCTATCCAATAGCTAAAAGCAGATTACTTACTTACAGGTATGCACTGATGATGACTCAACAGTCGAAAGCGCTCTGCTACGAATATAAATTTGAATAAATTATCTTGCACGAAATACAACACTTCCCTTCTTTGGTATATATACACGTGCACACAGCCCAGCAATCCTCATTTCTTAGCGAATCAATTAGTAGGCAGGAGCTATTTGGGATGCGGAACCCGAATACGGAAACCTTTTCTTTGTAGCCATTAGAGGGCGCTCACCAATGCAATGGTTTTGAATGGCCACAACTTTTTTCTGTGTATTTTTCCAATTTTTTTGTTGAGGAAATGATTTTCTGAAAAATTTCAAGCAAAAAAGGTACGCGAAAATTCGATAAAATCATTTTGAATAAAACATGTTTGCTGTTATCTTCGTGGATATAATTTTGACAGTGAATGAGCAGTGTGAAAATGTATTATTCAAGATACTTTTTTGGAGTGAACTTGTCGATTTTTATGTTTCGAATTGTTTATCTTGGAAACGGAGCAATTTCGGACTGAATTAAGTGGCTTTAAATCGACTTATTTTGATCTGAGGACATCCTGTATATTCTGATACAATTTTGACCCATAACATTCAGTAGGTATATCTGATTTTTTTTTCTAAGCCTTTTCTGTACGCGGTGAAGTGTGTAACCACGTATTAATGAAGTCCTCAGTTATTTTCAATCAACGGATACCACCCACTATAATTGGCGCCTAGCTATGTCATCCGCATTCTACACATAAGTATCTGAAAGTGCATCTTATTTTTCGTGGAACAAGTGCCAAACACTTCGAAATAGTGCTTCATAGCAGCATAAGTCACGAAAACTTTTCATTATGGTCAGAGTTCATATACCAGGTGACACAGACTCATGGTATACCAACCCCCTTTTCTCCTTTGGTTGTCTAGCTATATTCCTGAAATTTGGAACATCAAATATGCTCACTAGAGTGCACTTTCCCACATTTCAGGAATTTTTTTCATCTTCCTGTTTTCCTGGAAATCAACTTTCAATTTTCAATTGGAAACCCTTTATTTTATTCCATAATCGGTTAGACTCAGGTTAGAGATTATTATAACTAGAGTTACTGGATGGTATTAGTTGTAATTGAATGGAATAGCAGATTTTCTCAAACGGATCTTAAAATCCTCTGTTCGAAAATAGGCCTAAAATATAGTTTCATTCTAATATGCTGTTATATGAAGTGAACATTAATTGAATCTACCTCACAAAAGTTGCTTGTCTTCAAATAAATTTTCCATCCAGGCCGTTTCATACATTTCTTCTATGAGGGAATAGTTGATATTTCCTTTGGAAAATTAAAGAAATGAAATCCATTCTCTTCAGAATTCCCACAATGCATTACACAGCAGCACATTTTCATTTATGCGTTATTCTTAATAGTTCACATTCGAAGTTTTCATGGTGAAGTATTAGATTTGTTAACGAATCAGATATTCTGATTCTTTTGTTTTCTTTATCGTTCATTAGTTTGAATTCACTAGAGCAACTAGTAATCCGGGTGGCATCAATCTTTGGGTCATAACCTGCTCAGTCATTTTGACATTGACACTTTCACGACCCCTGGATTTCACTATCTCCACTGATAGTTGTCCGGTGCAAGTGGACCTACCACTATAAAATAGGTGGCGCCCGAGACTACTATCCAATAATCCGTGCAATAGTGTCAAATTACGTACCTCGTTGTAGATAGCGTTACAGTGCTCTTGTCACAATGTAAGGAGTGTAACTTAATGAATCTAAACATTCTAAAACACTAACAGTTGTCATTTTCATGTCCGAACTCTCATCTAACTAATACCATCCAGTGACTTTAATTATAACAAATTCAACAATACTGGGTTTGATTGATTGAGTTATTAAATATCGAAAATTATATCTCTGTCACACTCATTGAGCTTATGGAAACTTCGAACGCGAATACATTGCAAATATATATCCTACATGAAATATATCTCAATAAGGAAGCAAATGAAAAAGTTTTCTAAAATATAAAAATTAGTGCCTTCAGCAATTTGACAATATCAACGAAATAACGCATAATATCGAATATTATCAACAACATAGACTGATGAGTATCTTAACAGGATATTATGGGTGAGTTGGTGATCAGCATGAGCTAAAAAAATTTTTCGTGAATTAGAGAATCTCTGAATTATTATTTCACTAAATGCATGTAATGAGTCAGTATCCCTTGCTCGATAATAGCTATTTATATGTCAAGGGAGCAAAGGTATCTATTATCTGCGTGTGAAATTTGATGCCCGACGCGTAGCTCCCAAGATATATACATATATATGATTTTATCCACGAACGCATATATTTGAGAGCGTTGTTCTTGAAATTTTGCTTCCAGCGGTCTATCTCTCGAATCTCGATTCAAATCAATGTGTTACAATCATTATCTAAGGTTACAGACAGTATTTGAATCTAATTTGACATTGACACTTCTGTCACATTGAATTTGTTTATTGTGTAATGAGGGCTAACATTATTTAATGTCCACCAAACCGCGCCACCAAAACATGATGTCAGGGTTGGTAGAAGTGATAAATATTCTTCTTATATTCGTCTCATTTGGCCTTTTGCTATTATATCTTCTTCTCCATCAATGTACGGCTCACGTCTTCCGATAACTTGAAGTTTTCTATTCAAATATTCTACATCATTTTTTTCGAATATTTTCGATAAAACAGGCCATAGCTTTTGGGGCTTTCCGGCAAAATTTCGTGATTTTTGACTTTGACATTGACCTCATATTTTATTAGCGCCATCTGGTGAGAGTGAAAATGTCAGCCCTCATTGCATTTTATTTAAAGTTTCGATTGAGTGTTTGGAATATGAGAAAGTGTATGAGATCATAGGGAAATTAAATTGTTATTTGTTTTATAGTAGCGATGGAGGCACTGATTAGGTACTTGGGTAGCACAGATCTTATACGTAAGGAAGCAAGCAAAAGCCAATTTATTTTACCTCCCTCGGAAGGTAATATTTTTTGTCCTCCCGTGGGAGTAAATTGACAGGTTTGTGTCCTTAAATGAGGAAGCAGACGCTCACTTTCGATGCAGTGAGTAGATAAAAATCATAATCACCCCTCAACCAATAGTTGACATAATCTTCAACCTCGTTGAGATATTTTGATTTTTTTTGCAAGATATTCATTAACTTATAGACAATCATTCGAAATTGTAAAAACCACGAAATAAAAATGGAGATGTCAGCTATCCGTCACTGTCATCGTCGAATTACATCCTTCCGAAATCTTTTAAACGATTCTTACAAGCAAATACTGATTGCAAGTGCAATTGCTTTTAAATTGTAGCCAGAGACACTAGCTAGCCCATGACAATATGGAAACTGCGATATCTAGAGCAAAAGGAAAGAAACACTCAAAAAATGAAATTCCCATTTTGGGTTTTCGTTGGGTCCACTTTCGCTTTAGATAACGATCTTCCTCGCGATCTTCGGACTGCGGTCTGGTGACTACCCTACGGTGATGAGGGCTATCCCTAAACCGGTCTGCAGATGTCAAGCGTTAATCTGACAGAATCAAAAGACGATTCGACCTTTAGGAAATCGCTGCATATATTTTGGAAGGAAGTAATGCAATGTTCTGTGTGGTTTTAGACAGGAAAGTAGTTGTTTTTCTCCCGTCATCTATCATTGTTGCTCATTTTATTGGATATTTGTGGAAATGAGATGTATCTGTACACAGGATGTCCCGAAACTACATAGAAACATTTCAACCACAGATTCTAGGAACAAAAATATTAAAGAAAGTTCACATAAACATGAGCCCTGAAAAATATGGTAGGTACCCTATCAAGAAAAAGTACTATTTTTATTATGCAGCAGACTATTAATAGTAATTTACGTAACGAGTCCGGAAAATACTGTTTTTTTGGACGAATAGACAAAATCCTAGACCGAGCCGTAGGCGAATCCTGGAAGTCTGTGAGTACAAAAAAACTGTTTTTGGACGTGTTGCGTACACCATTTTTTCGGCAACCATATAGAATAACAAATCAATGAGCGACATTTCCATATTATATTTCTTTGTAGAATAAAATTTCGAACATTTTAATTCTTATTTGTAGCAAATACTGAAATTTGACCAGAATACTATACCTACTGAAAGCTAAGGTCCTTACTCTACTCTTTTGATAGTTTATTGCGAAAATTGCAACCAAACTTTCAAAAATCAAAATGTCAACTAATTTCATGTCAAATAGCTGTCAGTCATTGTTTCGCTGCTATGATAATGATCATCTGCATTTATCAAAACCATAATATCTACCAAGATTTTCATAGTTACAGTTACTACAACTATGTGATGCTTCACGGCCTTTTCTGCGAAGTACGTACTTCCCGGACTAGGCCGGAAAAATGCTACTTTATCAAAGAGAAAACGTCCGGGAAGTGAGCACTTCCCGGACGGTTGCCGAAATCGATTTTTCTCGAAAATTGTGCTATCTAAACTAAACAAGAGTATCATTTTTATGTAAAAATTATGATATTTTTTTCATTTCCTGGCAAACTGCCGAAAATTGCATAAAAAAGAAAATTGGTGGAAAAAATGCTCCTAGCCCCACCTATTTCCTATGTCCCTCATAAAAAGGACCCCGCACCGCATCAATGGGATATTGGCTTTCGGTGAATTTGCTCGAATTTTTGATATATTGTAGAACTCGTGGTGCTGATCAAATGTCTCCATTGCACCAACGCTCTAAAATCAACAGTTACGATTATATAGGGTGATAAAGTTGACTTTTTAAGAATTTTAGATAGACGTTGTGAAGACACCTTTCATAATTTCGAAACCAAATCAACTGTGCATTGATTGTTCGAATGACCGATACGAATCTACTATAAAGTATAATGATTCCTGCACGTGCCAACAATATACAGGGTTGGTCGGAACATGGCGAATAATTCAGTGATTTTCGGAAAAGTGTGCGGTGGAATCTCATTTAAATTCTGTAGTATACAAAAAACATCCCCATTTCGTGATATTAGCATCTCCTAATCAGACATATTATATACAAGATGTTTTATTTTTGATAAAGTCACATCCATGTTAGGTAACTATTATTGGCATCCTCATTATGACTTACAACTTGAACAACCTATTGGGAATCTCGTTCATTCAATGATGAATGTTCACCCTGCAAATACTTGAAATATACGGAGTGGACGAAAAATCAATGGTCTTCTAATAATTTCTCAAGAGTAGTATGTGCAGATTCTTTTGGCCCATTTTATTGACCCTGTTTCATAACGACATTATATTCAATGAAAATAATTTGAACCATTCGATGTAGTATATATTTGATAATATGCAGGTATCATAGGTTTTTCAGGTGATAGTGAAACAATCATCAATGTCTTCCGGCATTGAATGCGATCAACAATTTATTGTTATTTCTTGGAATTACGGAAGCTTGAGTGAATTCTCATTCGTAAAAATCCATGAGCGTTCGTATTTGAATTGAAATTGATTTTCATCGTGATATCATATACATCTTTCATATGAGATCCTGCCAATTTCACCTGGTAGGTTTTCTGCTTCTATATCGTGGCTTATACTAAATTGACTCTGATAGCCTTTTCTAACATCAAATTGGCTAATTATACATTGGCGTCTCTTGAGTCAAACAGACATACATACAAAAATACATATAAAGATGAACCCAACTATCTAAAATACATACCTAATGTAAAAAACAATACTATCTGGTTGGTTTATAAGGTAGTATGAAAAATCAACACGATGGCATAGTTATTATATTTGAAAAGTACTCCTGACTGTATAGCCGAGTTTATAACGTACTCAATAAAGATAGAAGCAGCTATATCAGTTTCAATAAACATAAATATATGAATTATTCCAGATTTTTTGGGATTTTTTCACCTCGTTTCTATAAAATAAAAATATGAGTATCATTTCAATATACGTGTAGTAAGGACAAATCAGATGATTTGCCCCAAAGATGTCACTATCAAAGAGCCTAAAACAAAAATTCACCAGTATAATGATGAATATTTCACCTCCTCAATTAACCTACAGACAGTATTTAACAAATGAATATATAAATCAGTTGGAAACATACACACATATCATCATGAAATCATGGTAATATAAAATAATAGAATATTGAGTGAGGACGAATGATAAATTCTTACAAATGCCGAATGAATCTTTGATTTCATTCAATTACGGTGATCTCTTCTCATGATGGACTCCATGTTCATCTTGATCATGTTAAGATTGCTCTGGTTCAAATAATGTAATATGGCAGGCACATAGCAACTATTCTGTTTAACATTGTCATTTGCAACTATTGCATCTGTCAAGTTCTTAGAGTAGTAGTAGAAGTCAAGGTAATAATTATTTGAAAAATGGCTAATCGTCGCCGATTGAATTGTTTTACGTGTCATTCAGCATTCAATATACAAAATATGGTAGGACTTGAGGGAGAACCAAATGAAATGAAGCGAGAAATCGATATTGAAAGGCGAGACCAAAGGGGACTTCCACATCTCGAATTTATGGTTCTAACATGTTATTAAAAATATACTGCATCGAATGGTTCAAATCAGTTTCATTGATTATAATGTCGTTATGAAACAGGGTCAATAAAATGAGTCACAAGAATCTGCACATACTACTCTTGAGAAGTTATTAGCAAAGACCATTGATTTTTCATCCACTCCGTATATTTCACGGATCTGCAGAGTGGACATTCATCATAGGATGTTCAAGTTGTAAGTCATATTGAGGATGCCAATAATAAGTACCTAACATGGATGTGAATTAATCAAAAATAAAACATCTTGTATATAATATATCTGATTAGGAGATGCTTATATCACGAAATGGGGATGATATTTGTATACAACAGAATTTAAATGAAATTCCACCGCACACTTTTCAGAAAATCGCTATGTTCCGACCAACCCTGTATATTGTTGGTACGTGCAGGAATCATTATACTTTATAGTAGATTCGTATCGGTCATTCGAACAATCAATGCACAGTTGATTTGGTTTTGAAATTATGAAAGGTGTCTTCACAATGTCTATCTAAAATTCTTCAAAAGTCAACTTTATCACCCTATATAATCGTAGCTGTAGTTGAAATATTCCTATATAATTTCGAATCAGGCTGTAAGTACAAATCAAGTTCTCAAACCCTTATTGAAAGATAAAATAATCATGGTAATGAAATTAGTGCCTGCAAATCTTGGAGAAATATTAATCACATGCTGCCTACGGCTCATGCTGCTAACTTAATTCTCATGGGAAATGATTATCGTTCCGTGCAATATACTATTTTCTACTTCAATGTTTAACACCAAATGATCAGAAATGCCGATGGTATTTCCTCTATGGAATATCAAAGAAACTGATGATGGCTTGAACTAGGTCAAAACACATTCAGACCACCTTGTATAATACATAGTTGAATTGGGAATAAAAAAAAAATTCAGAATCTGTGAACACATAATCAGGACCATATTTGAAAAAAAAAAGTTGATGGTTCTATGAATACAAAATGTTGCATAGGGAAATCAATATAACCAAGTTGAATATCATCAGAAGTTGCTGTGGAAAAGTATTTTGAGTTTTTCTATATCTCTAATATTAGCGTAGAAAAAAAACTTTTGATAACTTTCCAATGCCGTTAATATGACCCTTGGAATGGGCAACTTTTTTCCCTTTTAACTGAATCTTTATCTCCTCCCGGTTCCAAGATTCCCATGCTGTACAACCTTATCTTGTTCACACTGTATAGGGTGTCCCATAACATAACTTATATGCAAACAGGTGATGCTAGAGATGATAATAAGAAGATTGAGTCAATATTTATGTTGGAAGTTTGAGTCATTGAAAAAAGAATGAGGTGTTGGATGTGCAATTTGTCAGGAGAGATAGAAATCAATGACAGATGTTATAATGACATACCAAATATAGTTTTTTGGCATTCAGGACACACTTTATGAATTACATAACTTCCAGCAATTAATATTGACCTCGAACATGTTTTTGAGGGGAAATAATCACTTTTCTCTAGTTTGAAGTTGAGACATTCCCAGCTTCACAGGATATAAAAACATGTTAATCAAGAAATACAGCAAGCACCCTTGAGGAACTTTCAACTAATTTTTACAGAATTCAAATTTTCCATCTCCAAAAACCAAACTACCTCAATTTTGAATTCTACTTTTAAAATAACTGTAATTTTTCGAAAATTAAGATTAATTTATTTATCATTATTAGTATCACCTGTATGGCAAATAAGTAAAATTTTGTGAATTTAGAATTTGTGAAAATGTATCTTACTGCCATATAAGGTTTGCATCCTGCATCAATGGTTTTGGCAACAGAATCGACTAGGTATCCACTTATCCCAAAATCACACATTTTAATTTCACCCTGTCTATTGATGAGAATATTGGAAGGTTTCACATCCCTGTGGATAACTTTGAGATGTGAGTATAGGTAATGTAAGGCACTAACTACAGCATAGGCAATTTTTCCTGAAACAAAATAAATATTATTGATCTTCAACATTAACCCAAAATGTTTCACAAACTGAACATAAAATAGTTTTTTCGTGACTATTACACATGTTATTGATAAATGGTCATTGAAAGAATCTATAAATTATTATTCTTGTTCGTCTGGTGGGTGATGCCACACTCACTAATACTTTGACATCATTGGAACACCATAGAAAGATCGGCGACCTTTCACTTTTTTATAGATACTACCTCAGGAACTGTTCTTCAGAAAACTCTGCTATCATTCCATGACTAGCAATACCATTCAGAAGAATTGACAAGCGTAGTCATTGCCTAACACTATAATACATATGTAAAAACTTCACAAACGATAAGATTTCCACAAAATTCTTAAACACACAACATGTTTCGCTAACACAGTAGCTTCCTCAGGTGATATACTGGTACTATGAACTAAACCAACGTTGGCTTGCTTAACTTTTATATATCCTACTTTCCCAACTTGGAGGATCAATTACCTGTGGAAATCCTCCATTTTTGGAAATTAGGCACAATATCTACATTAAATTATGGTATACGGGATTAACTTGAAAGGAATGATCCCTTTCAATGCCTAATTTCCGAAAATGGAGGTTTATCGATCCTGTCCACAGGTAATTAATCCTCCAAGTTGTGAAAGTAGGATATATAAAAGTTAAGCAAGCCAACGTTGGTTTAGTTCATTGTACCAGTATATCAGCTGATGAAGCTACTGTGTTAGCCAAACATGTTGTGTGTATAAGAATTTTGTGGAAATCATATCGTTTTTGAAGTTTTTACATTTGCCATGGATTTTCATCAAGTAACGGCCGAGTCAATTCAAAACTATAATACATAAATAACATCATGATTATAAGTAGCCTCTTGAATAATCCTTGTATTTTATGCTTTTTAATTTTGAATGATTAGCTACTAATCTTCAGTCGCCAAGGTCATTAGATGATGTTTAGATGACATTTCGCTACGCTCGGCTATGAATTCAGCCTCGGCAGTCAATCTACTACTTTGCTGCCTAGTTAAACAAATAACTATTTTATGGAGTTTTTCCTATTTAGTGAGCAAGCATACCAGATGACGGCCATTTAATCCATAGGCAATCCAAATACTAGATGTCAAATGTCAATAGATTGCATTGGAATGACATTACACATGCCATTATTTCAAATGATATTCTACCATCTTTTCACTAAACATGGATAAATTCACAAGAAAATCATATGTGTCCAACATTGTGTGATACATATAAATTGTCCAATGATGGAAAAAGAAGGGCAAATTGTTCTAAATGCAATCCAAAGACAGGCGGAAAAGAAGGTGAAATTTGTAACTTTATAGTGAAATATCTTGATAAATAATGGTTTGTTCACATTTTCATTATCAAATTCGTGTTTTTCAGACAAAAATACATTAGTACCAAAAAAAAATTTCCAACAAAAACCCATCTCATGATAAGTGCAAAATTACCAAAAAATTTTGGAAAATGACCTATCCCATGATAAATGCAGTTTAACCAAATGTCCTCTTATTTTCTGCCACATGGAATGCATTGCAAAACAAGACTTTCAATTTGCATTATGTTTGTAATGTAACCAACCATTTCAATCAAACACAACCCTTGCCTTTTTTCTGTGGCATGTCTATCATTAGGCAACTCCCTTAGAAATAGGACCTATCTATATGCTCTACCAACTAACTAACTTACCTAACACATCCTCTGGTATCCTTCTACCATGTCTAAATGCCTTGACATAAAATTTGTCTAAGCTAGTATCCATAACTTCCATACAGATCCACACATCCCCCTCCCTAAAAAGTGCTCCATAAAACTGAACTGTGTAAGGACAATCACTGCTTCTCATGGAGATATCAAGGTCCATCAACAGCCTTTTTTGTTCTTGAGTGTTGACAGTAGCAGTTATTCTTTTAACAGCCATAATTGTACCACTGGGAATATGGCGCATCTTCTCCACCACACCATAAGCACCCCTACCCAAGTCATCAATCTTGCAGAGATCATCTGCTTCCACATCAAATGTTTTTTCTCCAATTGTGATTGTTGTTCGGGTGTCTAAATTAGCTGGAGGCAACCTGTGTTTGAAACATAAATTTTCATTAACTAGAAATCAGAGATCACATCAATTTGAAATGAATCTAACTTACACTGGAGGAACATCATCTGATACTTGGAGTTTTAGTGCTGGTTTCTTCCTTCTCCCTGACATAATTTTTCAGAAAACCAAAATCACAGTTGAAAGTAGGAAGGTGAATTAAAGTAGCCTGAATTTTTCAACAGGAGTGCTATTCAGATTTTGAAATGATATCAAGAATCTGTCCTGTGCTGCAAATGAGAAAATGTCAAGATTATAGTACTTTTTCCCTATATCAATGTACTGGTGAAAATGGTAATACAACGTCTTTCAACTCTTTTATACAAATCCTTCTAGCTTCTTGAAACCAAACAAATGTAAAATATAAATCAAGTTGAGATTTGAGAATCTTGAGTCAGTCTCGGAATTAATCGCCAATTTTCGATTTTACCTCATTGATAAATCAAGTTGAGACTTGAGAATTAATCGCCAATTTTCGATTTTACCTCATTGATGAACTTTCGAAATTTGTAAAAAGAAAAGACTAATGAAGTGGAGACACGGAATGTCGAATTGTCATTAGCATAACGAGCCGACGAGAGGAGAATGTCAGTTATGTCAGTATATGACCATCTGCGTCTGACGTCACAACGTTGAAGGTGGAACGCTTGGAGGGTAAACAAACCGTGTGGAGATACTCTGTTCATGAGTTTATAATTATTTTTACTTTAATTTTACTGCTTTGTTACTGAAGAATAAGTTGTTATTAGTGTTTGTTATTTGTATTGTGATAGTCGTGTTGAACTTCTACTGCAGATATAATTTATACATATTGAATTCAATGTATTTATCTGTGATTCAAATCTTCTAATTTTGAGGGCCTATCATTTACATCTACAGATTCTAACCGAATAATATGCCGAATTTTTATATGATAGTGAATTGTGGCAGAACTGGAATGAGAGAAAGTGTCAGATTTTTTTGGATTCTCTCAGTTCTAGACAATAACAGAAGAGAAAACAGCTTAGCCAATTGAGTGGAGCGCACTACCCCTTCTTGTAGAATCTTTTATTGTTTGTTAAAATTGTACAATCTCTTGTTGGTTCAAGCTGGCATCCACTTTATGTGCTTCCAATTGTTATTTGCTTGAACCTGGAAGGGACCCTACAACCTGGTTTTGTGAAATCAATGTCAAAAACTTTGCTGGGCGCAGAAGGTTTATTCCGTGGTTTATTACTTCGAGCTACCCAAGCTTCCACATCTGTTACAGATTTTGATTCCACAAATGATGTTGAACGAACCGAATTATCAATGGAGAATAATATATAGCTGAAACATGTGTGCAAATTTCTCCTAAACCAGCAACACAGTCACAATGTGCATTTTTCACAGTACCACTACTTTCACATATATTCCAAGGATTAAGGCATTTTTGATTCAGTTCCTGTGAATGCAGAACCTACAATAAAATACTAATCAAACAGTTAATATGAATAATGAATAATTGTGTGCTAACTTCAACTTTCCCAAAACCAAAAGATATGTTCACCAACACGTTTGGAGCGGAGGTTTCTCACCCAACCTTATGTTGCAGCTTTGTAAGAATCTGAACCCTTATAATATGCTTTCAGTTGCTCCATAATTTACAATGTCTGGATATAAAACTGGTGGCAAATCATCAAGTTCCGTGGAATAATTGTTTAGGGTCCCTTGATGGAAATTGACTTTAAAGTCATCTTAACAGGGTACGGACAGATCCTCGTCTCTTCTCACTCTAAAAAGTGTTTGTGAAACAGTTATGTAGTTCCATCCTTATTCAATTCTGGGGATAAACACTAGATTTTTGACATTCGATGTTTTTTAGGTTATATTGAGGTCACTGGCGTATCATAGGTAATTTCCATATGGAATTCCTGATTCAACTATACCAAGATATAGATGAACAATCCTCTAGTTTTAGAGTTTACTACTCCAGCATAATCTTTGCGATTTAGGGAACATATAAATTGTACTGAAAGCTCAATATATTTCACCAAAAGAGACTGTTCTTAGACTGTATACCAGGGTCGACTGAATCGACTGAATAAATACTGATTTCAAGCTGAGCAGTAGTTTATCTATGAGCGGAATGAGCTGAGCCTTATGATTGAGAAATGGTGGAAACCTCGATGTGGGTATCTGAACTACTGTACTCATGTCATGTGTGCTGAATATATTTTCAGAAATCCAACTCGGAGAAGAATAATTTATGGAGTTACTAATATATATATATATAATATGTATAAAACTTCGTCTAGGACGAGAAGTAGGCTGATAAAAATTAATACGTAAAATGTGCAGGAAAATAAAGAATAGAATATACTTTAGCCCCATGTTATACTTATGATTTTTCCGTCTCTTCTAAATAAAGAGTCATTTTCGAATAATTTATTGATGAAAGTAACAAAGAAGTAGGTATACGCTAAGTATACGCAGTATAACTTATAGACACGATATTTTCACTCTTGCATCCTACATATTTTCTATTTGTGGTAGAGTAATAATTATATAAACTAATGTCTTTCGCCATATTGCATCCGTCATCTTGAGTGTTTCAATTTTTGGCGAAAAAATCATTTTCTCCTACCCCGAAAACCCTCAGATATCAATTTTGAATAGAATCGGATCTTCATTACAAAACTTATCCACGCATATTGGATCCGCCATCTTGAATATCCCAATTTTGACGAAATAATTATAATCTCCGACCCCGGAAATCCCCAGATACCAATTTCGATTTTTTGAATAGAATCGGACCATAATTACAAGTTTCGTTCGCCATACTGGATCCGCTATCTTGAATTTACCAATTTTGACAAAAAATCATAAAGTTCGACCCCAATAACCCTCATAGAATCAGATCATAATTAAAAATTTCTTTTGCTATATATTGGATCCGTCATCTTGAATTTTCCAAGTTTGACGAAACAATCATTATCTCCCGGAAAACCCCACATACCTTTCAATTTTGAATAGAATCGGATCATAATTACAAAACTTGTTCGCCATATGATCTTCCTCAACAAGTAAATACCCTGTACATACCTATTATTAAAATTTTGAATGATTTTTTGTAGCGCCCATGGATGTGACGTGACAGCAATGTCAGGGATGCCAGTAGACAAAACTAAAATCTCTAGATCATTGAAAAAGAATGCAGCTATGATCTGTCCGTACCCTGTTAGGATGACTTCAACGTCAATTTCCATCAAAGGACCCTAGTATCTACTAACTAGCTCTTCCATTTATTAGATGATTCAACTGATACCCTTTATTTAGGTATAACCCGTCAGACAGTCTAGATATTTAGCCGTTATTGGTCATCCACTACACTCGATCACGCCGAAAAGTGTAGTGGTTAAATATGTAGTGTACAATCCAGACCTGTAGATTGTGTCTGTCACTGTCAACGACACGCTCTTATAAATGTCATCTGATTGTCATATATTCACAGCTGAGGCTGAGTGAGCTGAGTGACAAAGACAGAAACCAAAGAATAGTAGGGTGACAGAACCAGACAAACAAAGATACTTTGGTATTTATTTTAAATTTCCAAACATTGCACAATATTTATTTCACTTGAAAATTATTAAGGTAAGGTAAAACATTGCCAACAAGTTAATTATTTTTTCAACAGTCAACAGTTCACAACTAATAAAAAAAACTCAAAATGTCAAGTCCTTGGGCTAAAATTGAAAAACCAGATCCTGTATGTCTCCATGATATTATGTCTGAAGAACTCGCGAGAGATCTACAGGAGAAAGAAGATAACAAATTCCTGAAAAACTCAGAAACACTGCATGCCAAAGTGGGAGCCCCAACAGCTTCAATCTCCTCCAATATATTGGTAGATGAGTTGCAAAATATTTCCAATGAGGATAGTGATGCCATGATCGCTCGGATGCTGCAGATGCAGTTTGACAAAGACTATGATGATGAGTTGAAACGGACTGAAGAGAAGTTTAATGGAACCTCCAAGGTTACCATATCTTTTGATAATTATCGTAGAGCTCCACTTAATGATGGTATGCATAAAAAATATATTATATTCTTCATATTTCAGTATTCTCTTAAATAACTGAACAACTTTCTTTGTCTATGACAACAACAAGCAGAGTCACAATAAATGGCAAGTACCCAAAGGAACACATTTATCATAATAAATGAAGAATATTAGAATGTTTCAAGAATTTTTCACAAGTTAATGCCTGTGATTTTTCATCACGAATCATGCCCTATCAATCCTTGAATATATGCAAAATACCAAATAAAGACAAAAAGCATTCAGTTTCAGTGCAAGCGAAAGTTTGAGCCAGTATGATGAAAATTGGTATTCTAGATCTAGATGGTATTAGTTTACAATAGAATTATGTAGTCCATTAAAAGTGTTTTTCAAAACTTTTGAAAATGTAAGTGAGTAGGAGTCAGGTGTGTATACAAAGGGGGGGAAATACCAACAATAAGATTATAGATCAACTAACTTAAGATTCACAGAATGAATCTTATTTCATCCAACAGGTAACTAGTATCTAATCTATTCCTTCCTTTAAACTGAAAAATGCAAAAACTGCAGTTTGCTAGTTTTAAATTTTGACAATTTGAAATGAAATGAATTCAGCAGGAAATGCACTTTCCAAGGAGTTGTGTACACTATTTTTCCTATGACCACAAATATTTATATGTCATGAGTGTTTATAAGACCAGAGTAGGGTTCATGTTTTTAATCATATTTGATCACATGAAGGTGATATCATTATCATTATTATTTAATTTTACTTCAATATTTAAATGACATCATTAGTTTAACGTTAACTTAACATAAACTTGAAATTAACTTAACATTAACTCAACATGAACTCAACATTAACTTAAAATTAACCTAACATTGACTTAACATCAACTTAACATTAACTCAATAATTATTCAACATTAACTCAACATTAAATCAACATTAAATCAACATTAACTCAAAATTAACTTGACATTACAATAAAATCAAATTAACATCAACCCAATATCAAATTATACTAAAGAAGCTAGCAAAGCCACTTTCGATTTTCAACATGAGACACATCTCATAATTTTAGGCTCATTTG